CTTCGTGTTTAATCTGTGGTGACACAACATCTTGTGTGAAAATTTTCCTCTTATATTTCTACGTTACATTGTCTAAGTTTTAACAATATGTTAATACATGTTTATGAAACATACAAAGTTCCACAAATTGAATGATATACTAACCCTGCAAATAAACGCCCCTATATTTCATGAACGAGCTAGATCCTGGCAATGCTAGTGAGACTATTGGATCTTCTACAAGAACGTATAGCAGCGTAGATGGACACCACCACAATCCCTACACCCACCATTATCAGGAGCACTACAAAGGCATCAGACATGTCTTCTTTCGGCTTTCAGATTTGCTCAGTGGTCGACGAATAATTTAACATATGCACATAGTGTTTTATATGACGTCTTGCCTAATGCTTAGGATGAAGGCACGAAATGGAAATGGTGAGCATCTCAAATACTCTCTCTGCCTTTTGGTTTTAGTGTTATGCTAATCTACAGCTTAAGATATTGCGTTACGTTTTTTACTTTGATATAGTTTATCCCAATTAGCGTACTAGTTTCCTTAAAGAGTTGACGAAACTTTTTAAAGCAAGCATTGTTAATTTGTTATGATAAGATTGGCACTAATCTTTTTTTCTTCAAACACAATTGTGTATTTGTGAGTATAACTTGTCATAAGAGGAAAATTTTACAATTATTTGGTTTAGGACTTTCGGTGGAGCTAATTGGAAAAGTGAGTAGAATAAAAAAGGGCAGCGAGAGTAGTAATTAAAATCAGTGGTTTAAGACTAATATAACTTGTTCGGGTTTTTCTGTTTGATTTCAAGTTGCCAATCTAAAATCCTATGGAAAACATGATTGCAATATTGCATACTAGTGGAAGACTTTTTGCGTTCAATAAATCTACGCAAAGTGAATTAGTCCCCAACGAAGACCTTTTAATTACAAGACTAACAATGAATTTCATTGACAAAAATTAATATGAAGTAAGGAGTATCTATGTATCCATCTTTTAGAAGGTGTATTATGTTACAAGACTTTATTACGTGTCACTCTCTTTCCTCTATTACACATTTACACATTATTTTATTTTTCTAGATAACGTGTCAAAATACTTGATTAGAGTACATAACCACAATCTCATTTTGATATTATGGAAAGATTCCTTTGCGCTGGTGCCTTTGTGTCCAAGACTCAAAAAGTCTGAGAAGATAATTAAAAGTATTTGTCACAAAATGATACTGACCCTCCTTGTGCCTTGTTGGCAAAAATCATTCTAATGGTATGCTCAAGGTCAGGGGATCAAGGGTTGGTAGAGAGAGGAAGAAGAAGAGAGAAAAATATAGAGGTATTCTAAAATACCTCCTTTTTATAACCCAAAAGAAGGGAAAGTGACACAAATTATGTCATGCTTAGTACTGTCAAAAACCGAACCGAACCGGTTAAATCGAACTGATTCAAACCGATCCGAATGAGAACCGAACCGATTAAAAACCGATTTTTTGAAACCGAAAACCGACCCAAACCGCATTTTAGTAAACCCGAAACCGAACCGATCTGAGTAATGTTAAACCATTTAAGAACCGAACCAAATCTAAACCGAATCGAAAATGAACCGAACCGTTTCTAACCCGAAACCCTTCGAATTGGCATAAAAACCGTTTACACCGAACCGTTAACAAATTGCAAACCGTTTGCACCGAACCGTTTATAAACCGAACCGCTTATAAACCGAATTGTTTATGAACCGAATCGCTTATAAATCGAACCGTTTACAAACCACTTACAACAACTCATCAAATTATGATTATGACACTATTAACTAAATGATCAAATAAGAAGCAGATAATAATCTGATAATAAAACAATAATACATTAATGCACTAAACTTTTATAATCTACTTCGTAATAAACTAGTAAGATCAGTATGGCTAAACATAACATGATATGTATTTATAAAATTAATGAGAATTTGCATATAATATGATGCCTCAATATGAAGTGATGAAGTCTCGGCTTGATATAAAACTTGTTAACCAGCAAAAAGTTAGAAAGTAGTATAAAATTTCAAACCAAAACTGTTTAATTGTCCGAATCCAAACGACTCGATAAAAAACCGATTTTTTGAAATTAAAAACAGACCTGAACCGTAATTTAGTAAGCCTGAAATAAAACTGATCCAAATAATGTTAAATCGTAGAAGAACAGAACCCGTTAACGAACCGAACCAGTTATAAACCGAACTAAAATAAAACTGAACCAAAAAAGAACCGAACCGTTTCTAGCCCGAAACTGTTTGAACCGGGATAAAACCGTTTACACCGAACTGTTAACAAACCGCAACCCGTCTATACCGAACCGTTTACTACCCAGACCATTTACAACTCGAACCGAATTTAAACTGGGATAAAAACCGTTTACACCGAACCGTTAACAAACCGCAACCCGTCTGCACCGAACCGTTTACTACCCGGGCCGTTTACAACCCGAACCGAATTTAAACCGTTCAAGAATAAACCGAAACCGAATCGAACCGATAATTATTTAAACCGAACTGAAACCGACCCGTAAGACATTTGAACCGATTTCAAACCGACCCGATTTCAAACCGAACCGTCAAACCGAATTGACAGTACTCATGCTGAATCAAAACCTCACATTGGTCAATTGAGTTTGACTTTGGAAGTTTGTTGTTATGATTTGCAAATATTTTACTAACAAAATTGTAAAGATTGAAATATTTTACTAACGGGCATATCTCATAGGTCAAGCTAGTCTAGCTTTACAAATCAAACTCATCGAAAGTGAAAGGGTAAGCCATAAGGATAAAGTGAAACCTCACCCCATAAAAGCCCCTAATGAGATTTGATCCTAGGATTTTTAAGGCCTCGTTTGGTAATTAGTTGATAGTTGATTAATATTGCGGGTTGTATTTACTGGTTTGACTATTTGGTTGTATTAGAGATTTGACTGGTTGTAAATTGTTGATTATGTAAAAATGTTTGGTAAATATTTGATAATTGTAGTTGTTTCAGTGTATATAATAACCAAAAACCTAAATGTTCAATTAGCTAATTTCAAAAAGCTTGTAATTATGAGGGTTTTTTTTTTTTTTTTTCCAGCTATTTACAAAATAGTGAAATTAAATTTTTAAGATGGTCAAACCTTTAATATGTCTCAATAAACTAAATATTTTTCAAAAAAATACTTTACCAAACCATGCTTAAGTCATAAGGCCAAATCCATATAGGCCAAGCCTTACTTGGTAAAAAAAATTGTGTTTGTTGCCACAGACAATACTCTAGAATAAATGATTTTCGCATGAAGACACCAACCCTCCTTGTGTCTTGTTGGCATAAATCATTTGTCTGGTTGCACTAGAACAAGGGTTCAAGGGTTGGTAAGGAAGAAAAGGAATGTGAAAAGAAAAAAAATGAGGTATTCATAAATACCTCTACATTATGAAATGTAACCTAGTAATATATAAAGTTATTTTGACGAATTATATTGCCCAACAATCCAAGTATCCATGTTGAATCAAAGACACTCCAACACAACTGTAGATATTGTTTTAGACCAAAAACAGCGTTTACAATGCTTCTGCGCGGTACTAGTAAAAGTAGTAATTACTAATTAGCTTGCAAATTAATCAACCAATCAATCTTCAGCAATGCTTTACCGCCTATTTTTCATCTCTTCCCTTAACATAATCCTCTTTCTCTCTTCTCTTCACACAAATCTGTAGAAAATCTGGATAAGGTCAGACTGCAGATATTCTGGTCTCTGTATATTTCTTAGCTTAACGCTACAACCTAAGCTGCGCTATTAGCCTATATCAGCTGCTATACATCTAATTATAGGTAAGATTCGTAAAAGGATATGGGAAGTTATAGTTGTAATGATTAAGAAATAATCCACAGCTTTCATCGGATTTTACCGGTGGAAAGCCCCAATCTTTATTTTCTTTTAAGCTTTTTGTTTCTTAGGTTACAATAATGGTCTCCCTCAAAAGGAAGGGTTTATCTCCTTTGAAAAAACAACGTTTTTTGGACTCTTTCGAAAGACAAGGTTTTATCGTTAATTGTCAATTGTAGATGCCGTATGACTTTAATTAATGAAATTTAGGGTCCTTCAGGAAAGAAAGAAAAAAAAAAAAAAAAATAATCCACGGCTAAAACAATAAGATTATCATGTAGAGCGATTCAGTACAGTAAATACTATAACTACTTAAAGTAGATCAGCGCAGACAAAGGTAATCTATCTTCTCCTTCTCCACTGCAGTCAGAGCATTTTAGCTAGTCCTTAAAAGAGCATACACGACCCTTTTATCTATCAATGCTTTACAGGCATTCCAAGATAAATGTAAGGAAGCAGACCAATATATTGGCAATAACGAGCAAAGACAGCATTTACAGTGAATCCCTGGTCAATTCTAGTATTAACGGGCCAAAGAGACTTCTGGTATAGGACTAACCGCAGGTTGCTGTGCATTTGGTGCCTTGGTGGGCTTCAGCAGCAGTGGTTTATATCGCTAAATGATTCATTATCTCATCGAGTAATAATAACACAACCCGAGCAATGATGATCGCTTGACGAGTTAAGATGCACCTTCCATATCCCTCTGTACACTTGTACACTTTCTGCTATAACCCTTATTTATGCTTCACCTATCATCAGATTTATCACCCTATATAATCTGTTGTACATTGCACTGATTCAAAAACATTCCGTGAGAACTATGAACGAAAGCAGTGAGGTCTGGGCTAAGGTTTTATCGAATTTACTACGACATCAGGTAGTGAATTAACATAGCCAGAACAATCTCCAATATACAGTTGTAGTATTTTGGTTATTACACAGATTTGCATATGATTCTTCTACTAAATAATCACGACAACGACCAAGCTATAATCCACAGCGAATCCATTATTTGTAGTCATAAAGATCGTACCATGACTCTTCTATTAATCAATAATTGATTGATGAATGTGGCACTCTAAGATAGCAATATTAGCAACTCCAAATTCTCTGAAAAACTCAACCCTTACTATCTCATTCAAATTCCAACATTTTGAATCAATATACTACTACTTGTTCTTGCAATGTACTCCGTATTCAATTTCGAATCGTTTATGACAAAGCATTCTTAGCAAATCATATACTTTATACAATGAACTCAAGGACTAAAACCACACAAAAGAATTAAACTAAATGCATATATTTGAAACTAAGCAATTACATGACAATAGACAATAAGCATATCAGAGCTTTCAAATAACAATTGCATTCTTAAAAATCAAATGCTCATGTAACCACAAAGTGTAACACTATAACATACCCTTCTCTAACTTTTCTTAATAGGTTCATCATCATCTTCAATATCCCAACTCAAATCTTCATCATCCTCAGCAACACTCAACCGTTTTCGCAATTCCTCCCGGTTGCTCGGACTCCCACCACCACCCTCAGTTTGCTTCCCTTTCTTCTCACCAACATCATCATCACTACCAAGATCCTCAATCTCATCCCAACCAAGATCCTCCTCCTCTTCCTCCTCTCCTCGAGACGGTTGAGTCGAAACCACTGTTATATCACTATCCTTACTCCCCTCTGAGGGTGTCTTCTCATCCACATTCTTCTTCTTCACCTCCTCCTCCTCATTCCCTCCCGTTTTCGCCTCTCCCTCATTCGATTCAACAACACCGCCTTCGTCTTTCACCTTCTCTCCCTTCTCCTCCTCCCCTACATTATCACCACCACCAACTTCTTCATGTTTCACTTCATCATCTTCATCATCATCAACATCCCAGCTCAATTCTTCATCCTCATTCGCTCTTTCGACTAATTTGGCCCTAACACTCTCAGCTTGCTCCAATTTATAAACCCTAAAATAATACCTAAACCAAAACAAATCATGATCAACCAAATTGGGAACAACCCTTTTATAAATCCCTTCCATAACCCCATTTTCCCTCATCAAATTCCCCATTTCTTCGCTCTTTTCCCCCAAATAAAACGACGATTTCCACTTCTCAAACTCACCCACATCCTCAAATTCCTCAACATACGTATTCACATCACATTGAATCCCCCTCAACTGCGCATCAAACCTACTATACTTCCTCCCATCAGTCGGATTCAAATTCAAACCCGGATTCGATCGCGGGCTCGAATCCGGGTTCTCAAGGTCCGAATCACTACCTTGAGCAATAATCTGAGCAGTAGATTTCCAAACAACAGATCCAATATTATCAATTGCTTGACCAACAGATTCAAGGGATTCTTGAGCTTTTGATGCACCAACTTCGAGAGATGAACTTGCAACCTCTTTGAAAACCTGGGTTTCTATCTTTAAACCAGAGCTGAATTCCTGCAAATCACGACGGTATGTTTCGATTACGGATTCGGATTTTGTTGCGAAGGTTTTGATTAAGCCGCCGACGAAACCCCATGTGGGTGGTGCTGTGGATTGATCTTCGGATTCCGGTTCGGGTTCGGGTTCAGGTTGAAGGGGTTGTTGTTTGGGAGACGATTGTGGTGATTGAGGATCGGGTTCGGGGTCATCGTCTGCGAAGACAGATTTGAAGAAATTCATTGTAGAATACAGAGGAAGGAGAGGAGAGAGAAAGGGGAAAGAGGAGGGGTGATAGAGTGCAAGTTAAAGGGATTTGGTTATTTTTTTTTATTTATTTATTTATTTTTTTTAATGATTGTGTTAGGGACTTAGGGTGTATCCTAATTGAAGTTAAGATTAGGAGATGGGTTGAATTTGTAGATTTGTAGGGAGTGCAATTGAAGTTCAATTTGGTTTAAGCAAAGTTTAAGGTTTAGGAATGGTTGAATCGGTTCAACTTTTTTCATAAACATATTATGGATTACTTATTTTTGTCGAAGTTAAAAAATATACTTTGTCTGTTTTATTTATAAGTTATAGTTGGATTTGCACATTTGTCGAGTTACAACTTTGACCATTAGTATCTTTTATTAGAGGTTAGTAAAATATATGAAAAAATTAATTTATAAAAATAGACATTATGGCAAATCCAACACCATATTATGATCATATTTATATATTATATATTGGTAAAAAAAATAAAGTCAAGTATATATATATATATATATATATATATATATATATATATATATATATATATATATATATATATATATATAAACGCGGAGGGAGTAGATTAGGTTAGACGAGAAATGTTCAAATTTCAATATTCGTTTGGTTATTGTTGTATGTCTAGGATTGCATATTATATCAATGAAAATTACATTGGTATAAGTCTTTGGAGTATATATCCTGGAGGCTAGGATAAATCCAACATAATTTTACTTAATACGAAATATGAATTAAGCAACAATAGTTTTAAAACACGTTTAAGGTTTAGTCTTGTCAATATATATCATGTCAGATGAGATTGATTCATGTTACAATACACTTTATTTCAAGTAAAGAGAATAAGTCATTAGGCTATGTTATCTTCATTATATTATAAAAATGACTAGATTAGATCAGAGTGCACGTGCAACTTTAAAATTTCAGATAAGATTACCTTAAATAAGGTGAAGAGAACGAATCCAAATTGATCTATTGCTCATATGTGCTAAACATGACTTAGATGTAACCCCCTTATGCTCTTCTCATAATGAATATATAAGGGGAAATTGTTATGTGTACTCCTGAAATTTTAAAAAATGCAACGATTTGTACTCCTAAATACTTTCAAATGCGTCGTGTACCCTTGATGTTTGTAAAAAAAATGCACCAAATACCCTGATCATCTAACAAATGCACATATCAATGACTTATCAAACAAAAATCATGCCCACACACTGACTCCCTTATAATACTATATATATGCAGTAAAACCGCCTAAAAGCATAAATTATATCAAAATTTGAACTACACAGATCATTCTAAATCCTAAACTTTTGGGTGTTAGAATCTGATTTATTAACTAAGTTTACTTGATAATTAAATGGTTTTGCATTATATTAGCATTACATTGTAATAATTTAATAGAATTTGATGCTCAGGGGGTCTCAATCTAACAAAATTACCATTTGTTAAGGGTCTAGGGTATTTGGTGCATTTTGTTACAAACCTCAAGGGTATACGGTGCATTTGAAAGTTTTCAGTGGTATGAGTTTTTCTGTAAACTAATTGATAATTTCAATACTAGTTATATTTTGTAAGAGCATTCAAGTCCTATTTTAACTTTCTAAGAATATCTCCCAATCCGAAAAAATCAAAGCACCAGACCCCATTTTAACCTAAGCGACTCCTTGGAGAGAAGGGGAGAAATGCCACCCCTTACAAAGTTGAACGCAATTGAGTTCTTAACACTTTTTTGTCCCTTTCTGTTTAAATGAGATGATTCACCAAAACATTAAGAGCAAAGCCGATGGTTGCCCTTTTCAATTGTGGTCATTATTATTACCTAATACCTCTCTTTCATATTTTAACATTACTTAACTCTCTAATTGTTTTCCTCTTACGTGATCCATCCATTATTGTTGAACCCTGTTGTTTTGAATTGAATGAATCAGATCGAATTGAACCGAAAAATTGAATAATACTTCATGATAATTATAATAGAAACACTAGTTGTAATAATAACACTTCCTATACATCAAAGTTAATTTATATTTGCGCTGATTCAGGATATTAAGGAAATTCTTCCTCAACTTTCTGCTTGCAGGATCTGTAAGTTTCTAGAGGATGGGTTACCCCCACGCACCGGCTGGCTGTGCGTGCTCAACAACGTCATTTCCTTTGTTGGATTTTTAAGTTTGTGTTTTTTGTTTGTTTGTAGTGATCTTTGTCAAATAAAAAAAAGTTAATTCATATTTACGAAATTAAATAAAACTAAATAAAACTAAATTAATCAAATGGATTTTTTATTTTATTTTATTTTATTTGTTGTTGTTTAGAGAGCCACAAGGGCGGGTAATGAGAATCGATCTCATATTACCTAAAATCGGATGAGAAGCTTTAAGCACTTGAGTTATCCCTCACTCTCAACTAATCAAATGTAATTGAAACAAAATGAATGAACTAGAAAAGTAAATTTACAAATAAGTCTTACAAGAAAAGTCCCTTGTCCCCCTTGATACATGAATACATGATACCCCTTCTAGATAATGTGATGGGACTTGAGAGAGTATACATGTATAAGTTATAAAAGAGTAATGCAAGATTACTACTGAATGCAAGAAAGAGATATATAAGTGGTAAGATTGCGTACTCAAACAAAATTTCAAACATGAAAAAGGTAATACTAATTTTGTTACACAGAGGTTCAGATAAAATAATTACATTGAAAAACAATAAATAATTAAAGAATAAGACTATACAGAGTAGAATTCAACATGATCTCTTTAGACAGCACTGGTTGCAGACATATGTGCGGCACTATGTGCAGCATTCATGTGCATATCGTGTGCCATAGCGTGATGGTGGCCGTGGTGATGATAGTGGCTGTTATGTCCATGCATGGCACGAAAAAAGGAAATTGGCAACGGTTCAAACCCCCCCAAAGGCAACGGTTTTGAACCGTTGAGTATTTGAGGGTTGCCAAATCCCAAATAAATTGGCAACGGTTCAAAACCGTTGCCAACTCAACCAATTGGCAACGGTTAACCGTTGCCATTAACCATGCCTCCTTTTTTTTTTTTTTTAAAGTAATTGGCAACGGTTAACCGTTGCCAATTGCTTGAGTTGGCAACGGTTAACCGTTGCCAAAGCCATTGGCGCACTTTTTTTTTTGTTTTTTAAACATTGGCAACGGTTAACCGTTGCCAATGACCTGTATTGGTTTTTTTTTTTTTTTTTTTGGCTGCACTAATATTGACCTGTTTTTTGTTTTTTTTTGCTGCATTAATATTGACCTGTTTTTTTTTTTGGCTGCAATATTAATAATAATAATAATTATTATTATTATATTAATAATAATAATAATAATTATTAATATTATAATAGTAATAATAATAATAATAATAATACTTATTATTATTATATATGATAATAGTAACAATAATTAGTAACATTAATAACAAAACATAAATAATTAATAATAACAATCGCAAGAGATGATATAAATTAGAAAAATGTTTCATGTATAGTACATAATTAATAAGCTAAGCCTAGGATTGATGAAGAGATGATATAGTACAAAAAGTATGACGATATTTACAAATTAAATGTGATGTAGGTCGCCAACATCTCCCGAATTACATGGAGTTCCTCGCTCGTGTATGGAAGTCCCGTTTGCCCCTTGCAAAACTTAGAATACACAAAACGTGAGTTAGTAGAAGTGAAATAATAATAATTGGGGTTAGTTATAGGTGACTAATGCTTGAGATTACAAGAAAAGAGCAAGTAAGATGTTTTGGGACGCAATTTCAACCAAAATGGCTCAAGTAAGGCCATTTTGGCTACTAGGATGCCTATTTTCTATATTTCTTGTCTATTGAACTCATAACTAGTTAAAATATGTCATTATCACTTAGTTATAGGTGACTAATGCTTGAGATTACAAGAAAAGAGCAAGTAAGTAGTTTTGGGACGCAATTTCAAGCAAAATGGCTCAAGTAAGGCCATTTTGGCTACTAGGATGCCTATTTTCTATATTTCTTGTCTATTGAACTCATAACTAGTTAAAACATGTCATTATCACTTAGTTATAGGTGACTAATGCTTGAGATTACAAGAAAAGAGCAAGTAAGAGGTTATGGGACGCAATTTCAACCAAAATGGCTCAAGTAAGGCCATTTTGGCTACTAGGATGCCTATTTTCTATATTTCTTGTCTATTGAACTCATAACTAGTTAAAAAATGTCATTATCACTTAGTTATAGGTGACTAATGCTTGAGATTACAAGAAAAGAGCAAGTAAGAGGTTATGGGACGCAATTTCAACCAAAATGGCTCAAGTAAGGCCATTTTGGCTACTAGGATGCCTATTTTCTACAATTCATGTCTATTGAACTCATAACTAGTTAAAATATGTCATTATCACTTAGTTAAATGTGACTAATGCTTGAGATTACAAGAAAAGAGCAAGTAAGTGGTTTTGGGACGCAATTTCAACCAAAATGGCATACCTCTTCAAGCTGACGTGTCTCTGTACAATGACTCATCACTATGTCATACATGAATCTCATCACGTATAGGCCACAGTCAACTCCGTTTTCCTGTTGTACGCACTAGCATGAGGAACAAAGCACATGAATCAAAATGCATAGCAAATAAGCAACATCTTAAGCATTGTAAAGTAAGAAAATCACAACATCATGGGTGAATTACCTTGGGTGCTTTCCATGTAGGACCTCGAGGAGATCGAGGATTTATCTTCTTCATGGTACTACAAAAAATCAAAGTAATAAGTTCAAATTTGACTAGTATAATCAATACATATGAGTTAAGATATGAAAAATGAATAATCAGAAGTGAAACAAACTAGATGCTTACTTTTGCAGTATGGACCTCACGAGGCGCTTTCTTACTTGAGGTAACCGAGCAGAATCAAAGTAGAAGATTGTGTTACTGGAAACACAAATCACAAGTAGGGTCCAATGATAACTACACACGAGACAAACAAATCAATAGTTAGCCTATTACAACAAATAAACTGGGAAAACAAACGAACTTGACTAGCATAATCAGACGTACTCCTCATAGTATGGGACGAATATGAACTTGTCTCCCGCACTCACTGATTGCCTGATACCCCGTTCAGCATAGTACAACACGTCAGCGAAGTTGCCTAAGATTCTAGTAGTGGACATCTGCTCAGGGCACAACCACCCAACTTGACAAGGAGATTCAAGCTCCCATATTTGCTCCTGGAGTGCTCTGCATGCATGATATCACAACGTTAATCGAAAACCAAACGAAAAACACCACTAAACTGAATAATATAAATTGAGTATCAGTTGAATTACCTCATGGATATTTGAATGAGGGAAATGTTAAGCATTGCACCACTTAGAAATTCCTTCACATCTTCTTTGAATAGCCATGCCGTTGCATCATCATCGTAGTGGAACATTTCCTTAGGAAGTTGGATTTGGATGGGGCTGTCATTAGGCAACACGCAAACACGGTTGTGCAAATAAGCTAACTCCTGAGATAACGATTGAAGCACCGTGTCTTCAACTAATGGAGTAGCTTGCGTAGCTGAACATCGTGAAGGGCTCTTCATCGACTCTTTTCCACTCACCGAGCCATGTTCACTCCTGTTCTTTGGCCCCTCCACCCTCTTCTTTGGAGTTTGGCTTTTCTTCGATGGCTAATAAGACAAATCATATAAATAGTTAGAAAAGATTTCCATCCAACTCTTGGGAAGAAAAGATTAAATCGTGAAATCTAAATCTTAATTACCTTGTTCATCAACCGTATCCAAGCAGTTGGCCATTGCACAAAACTACCTTTTGCTGCCCAGAGTGTAGTGAACTCATCCTCCTCCACGGGCACAGGTATTAAGATCTCCTCGAACATGGGAACCACAGAATGGATCCCGACAGAATAATGCTCGGGCAGAAGAGGTCGAAGATGGATCGTGCCTTGTTCGGCCGGTTGTGCACTACCATAGGCAACAACTTTCAAAGGTCCATCATATGATTCCCCCGGGTGAAGAAGTTCACAACGGGTCTCTTCCTGCACCAATTAGGAAGATACTTCATTTATATATTCATAACTAAGCATATTAGGTGTAATATAGGAGTTAAATCAAGACTTGAGCAAAAAACATGGAAAATGGGCAAGTTAGAACTCATTTAGGCCATTTCGAGCCGAAAACACTCTAAATGAACCTAAAACTTGTGAAATTGCTTTTTTTAGGTTCTTTCAAGCCAAAAATATTCATAACTAAGCATATTAGGTGTAATATAGGAGTTAAATCAAGACTTGAGCAAAAAACATGGAAAATGGGCAAGTTAGAACTCATTTAGGCCATTTCGAGCCGAAAACACTCTAAATGAACCTAAAACTTGTGAAATTGCTTTTTTTAGGTTTTTTCAAGCCACAAATATTCATAACTAAGCATATTAGGTGTAATATAGGAGTTAAATCAAGACTTGAGCAAAAAACATGGAAAATGGGCCAGTTAGAACTCATTTAGGCCATTTCGAGCCGAAAACACTCTAAATGAACCTAAAACTTGTGAAATTGCTTTTTTTAGGTTGTTTCAAGCCACAAATATTCATAACTAAGCATATTAGGTGTAATATACAAGAATTGAGCAAAAAACATGGAAAATGGGCAAGTTAAAACTCATTTAGGCCATTTCGAGCCGTAAACACTCTAATTGAACCTAAAACTTGTGAAATTGCTTTTTTTAGGTTGTTTCAAGCCATAAATATTCATAACTTAGTATCTTAGGCGCAAAAAAAAAAACCAAAACAAGTGCAAAAAAAAAAACGGAAACCGGGTGGGAAGGGCAGCGTGTGCACAGCTGCACAGCAGCCTCCTCGTTGTGCTGCTGCCTCCTGGAGAAGAAAGAGAAGGAGGAGGAGGAGGAGGAGGAGGAGAAGGAGAAGGAGGAAGAGGAGAAGGAGGAGAAGGAGAAGGAGAAAGAGAAGGAGAAGGAGAAGAAAGAGAAGGATAAGGAGAAGGAGAAGAAGGAGAAGGAGAAGGAGAAGGAGAAGAAAGAGAAGGAGAAGGGAGAGAAGGAGAAGGAGAAGAAAGAGAAGGAGAAGGAGAAGAAAGAGAAGGAGGAGAAGGAGGAGAAGGAGAAGAAAGAGAAGGAGGAGAAGGAGGAGAAGGAGAAGGGAGAGAAGGAGAAGGAGAAGAAAGAGAAGGAGAAGGAGAAGAAAGAGAAGGAGGAGGAGAAGGAGGAGAAGGAGAAGGAGGAGAAGGAGGAGAAGGAGAAGGAGAGAAGGAGAAGAGAAGAGAAGAGAAGGAGGAGGAGAAGGAGAAGGAGGAGGAGAATGAGGAGAAGGAGAAGCAGACAACAAAAACACATCACATCAACAAATTAAAGCAACACAAACTACTCAACACAGCGAAGAAACACCATTTCACAACCAACTTAACCATTTCACAACACAATCCAAAAACAAATATCATTATCCAAACAAGTAAGCACAAAATCACCTGTAGAATAGGAAAGTGATGAGGTGTCGGAGTATCAAGCCCCCTTGAGTTCGCATGTGAAGGAGTATCAATCTGCAATAGTGTATTGATAGTGAAACATTAATTAGAACCGTACCCACGTAACTCAGCATATCAAAACTTATAGAGTTGAATTCTAATCATTTACCTCCTGTTCTCCTTCTCTTCGTGGGTGGCTACTTGCGTCGGCCGGTGTTGTCGAGGAAAAGGGCAAGGTCGACAAATTCATTTGCTTTGCCCATGCATTGAACTCTTCGCGCATCTCATTGCGCACTTGTTCTTTAATTGATGCCACTGTGGCATCGAAGTTCTGTGGCGAGTTCACACTTGCTCGGGATCTTCCAGATTTGGTATATTCGGGACCCATTACCTTCTCCCATCCTAGCAAGCTCCCCCCAGCACCTAATACCCGTCCCGGATGGTAGGGTTTTCCCATAGCAAAGGTGAAGGGGTCCTTCTCTACCATCGGGACGAGCTTGCCTTCAACAAGCTCTCTAGTGTACTCAAGCTGTAGCAAAAACAAAATGGCAACATGAAGTTAGTGTTTATATAAAGTGATATACATGCAAATGAATAAGTTAGTTCACTAGTTCATAGTTGCTTACTAGCTTATCTGTCATTTCTTTGGTTTCCGGAGCCTTGATGGACCATTTTCCGGTCTTCTTGTCCCGCGAATGCATAGAGCAAAAGAAATCCCCAGCACGACTCACCAAAGTACTAGTCGTGGAGTCAGACGGCGCTGTGGAGGACCCTAGAAGCGCAGTGGGGTATACTCCTTCACTCACCCACGTATCCCTCCATTCATCATACGTCATTGCTCCCATATGATGGTGGTATTGCTTTTGCAATGCATTCCTGTAATTCTGCTCCCTCATTTCCTACATAAAAAGATATATATGTTAGTTTCATTACTAATAAAAAAGACGATAAATTACAACACAATTTTCATCAGAGTTCTTTAAACTTACAATTTCTTCTTTTTTACATTTTTTATGAACGAAAGCCTCCCAATCATCCTTCGATATGCTAGGCCATATTTGCCAAGGGAGTTTCTCTTCATCGATGACATCATCATCACTGCCACCTCCTTTCTTGTTCTTTGGTTTCCTCACAAGTTTCTTTGTGATAAACCGACGAACTAAGTTACACTTGAAGCTTCTGAATCTTGCCGCAAGTAAGGATTCAAACACCCTTCGCTTGGCGTACTCATTTGGAATGTTAAATAGACTCTGCAAGCACAAATAACAAACATTATTGGTTTGCCCATAACATAATAATAAATTGAAATTTTTTATAAATAATCACATCAAATCAAACTTACCCTGGTATCATTCCAAAACGTGTCAATCAAGCCTGTAGGTACGTCGCTCATACGAAGCGTAATGGGGATTTTGCGCGCACAAATCCCAACTTGACCAGCATACCGACGACGCCATTTACCTAAGGGTTTCCCTACCCTGTCATACTCCAAGACCATAGGACCGACAGGTTTCTTGAAAGCTGTCGTCGGACCCCTCTGCTTTTTCTTCGCTGGTGCCTGCACCCCCACTCCACTTTGATCCTCACAAAATGGCTCCACAATGGCATTATCGATTGGAGGCGCTTGCTCAGCTGCAATTTCAAAGTCATCTATCATTCTCTCCAATACATCTTGCGCCTGATCTTCTGGCTCACCCAAATCAGTTTCCTTGTTCACATTATACGGCTGGTCCCCATCATTAGATGAATCATCTGAGTTAGATTCAACATCCTCAACTCGAACACGGAATCGATCGTCCGCCATTAGATGTTAAAACCTGTCATTACAAACATAACACGTTATTAGCTGCTGAATTGTAAGGTAAACTTATAATCATATATAAATTGCTGAATTATAATACAAATAAACTCTGAAAATGGTGATGCAAGTTACTTTATTCATTTAAAAGAATATAAGAAAAATGGGCAAGTAATTCAACAATTTCATTCATTTTCACCTAAAATGTGATTTTTTTATTCTTTCTACGCCTGCAATTCAAACTAATAGAAAATATACAGTACCTCAATCTAATATTCCTTCATCGTGGTCGGATCTCATGTAATTGGCTTGGTCGTCTATCTCATTTGGCACATCAGGTCTAGGAACGGTGAAAGGTGCCGAGTCATCAAAGGCATCATATTCTTCCTCATCCTCGACATCTCCAACGCCAAGGATTCTTATTTTGCCGGCTAGCACAATAGACCATTTTGAGTCGGCAGGTTCAGATACGTAAAACACCTACTTAGCTTGAGATGCAAGGATGAACGGTTCCGCACTATCATTCAGGTTGCCAAGATCTACAAGAGTAAAGTCATCAAATTTGACGTTACGCCTGATATTATCAACCCACTTACACCGGAAAAGAGCAATCGTGAAGTCACAATAATCAAGCTCCCATATTTCTTGAATTCGACCGTAGTATGACAACTCTGCATCAACGGGTGATTTATCCTTAGCACTTGCAAACTCCCTTGACGATGCCACAACCGTTACACCACTGTTTTGGGTCGATGACGATTTCAAATCTTGACGCTCAGTCCAAAATGTGTACCCATTTATGTCATATCCCTCAAATGAGCGAACTCATCCCTAGGATCATAAGCAAGCCACCTTATTGTAGCTGTGACACTCTCATCCATTCCACCCATCACTCGATCACGAAACCAACTCACAAACTTCTTATTGTGCAACTGCATCAGTGCCCTTTCACCTTTCGACGGAAACTCATCACGTAAACTAGCCATGTGCTCTTCTAAATATGGGTGAACATCTGCAACATGGTGCAACACATATAGGTGTGCTTGTAAGAACTTCTCTCGATCAGGTGACATTCGTTTCGACCCGATTGTGCCATGACCATCAAGTCTACCTTCATGTCGAGAAGTAGGAATACCAATAGGTTCAGCAACGGCTATATAGTCGGCCACAAAATTACCAATCTCCTCGGCCACGGTCCCTTGAATCATACTTCCTTCCGGGTGAGCCAGATTCCTAACTTTATCTTGCAATGTACCCATGTGTCTTTCAAAAGGATAGCACCACCTCAAGAACACTGGACCGCACAACTTAATCTCACACACCAAATGAAGAATCAAATGCACCATTATGTCGAAAAATGAGGGCGGGAAGTACATCTCAAATTTGCACAAAGTCACAACCACATCCGCCTGTAAAGCATCAAGGGTACAAGGATCAAGCACTTTGCTACATATTGTATTGAAAAACGAACAGAGGCTTGTAATAGCTTCCCTCACGTGATTTGGCAAAATACCACGTATTGCAATTGGTAGAAAAACTTGCATCAGAACATGACAATCATGGGATTTCATACTTGTCAGCTTCAATTCTCTATTTAAGGATACAAATCTTTTCATGTTAGATGCGTACCTTGATGGAACCTTAATGCCATACAGACATTCACAAAACCTCCGTTTTTCTACCCTTGACAATGTGTAGCAAGCCGGAGGTAAATAGGTCTTCCCCTCTTTGGCTTTTCCCTCACTTTTCTTCTTCGACGCATCCGCGACCTTTCCCTTTCCCTTGCTCTTCCCCTTTCCCTTTTTCGAACCCATTTTCTTTTTCCTTTTCCTGTTCCTTTCCCTTACTAACCCTTTGCTGAACCCACAATTCTGGACGCACCCCCATCTTTTCCAAATCTAAACGTGCACCCTTTCCGTCCTTTGTCTTGTTTTGAATATTCATCAGCGTTCCCACAAGAGCGTCACACACATTCTTCTCTATATTCATTACATCAAGACAGTGCCTAACGTCATGTTCTTTCCAGTACGGGAGCAACCAAAAGATTGATTCTTTTTTAAAGAGAGCAACTGATTCCGCCGCTTTTTCAGATTTCCCAAATATTGTTCGTACACCCTTGACCCGAGCGTAAACCTCCTCACCAGTCAGTGGCCTAGGAGCAGTCCCCTCCTCCACCGTCCCATCGAAAGCCTTTTTCTGCCGACGGTACGGGTGATCGCGCCTGAGCAACCTTCTTGTCCTCAAATACACATGTTTGAAAGAATGATCAAGGCGTCTGCTTGGCGTATCATCAATAAAAACGGGACATGCCTTCTTCCCTTTATTCTTATACCTAGACAAGTTTCCATATGCAGGAAAATCATTAACGGTCCACATAAGGCTGCACGCAATGTGAACATCTCATTCTTATGAGCATCAAACACGAAAACCCCTTCGTCCCACATCTTTCTCAAATCATCAACCAATGGCGCAAGATACACATCAATGTCGTTTCCAGGTTGCCTTGGCCCCGATATCAAGAGTGAAAGCATTACATATTTCCGTTTCATGCACAGCCAAGGAGGCAAATTGTAGATCACTAAAAGTACCGGCCATGTGCTGTGCTGGGTACTAAGAGTGCCAAATGGATTCATCTCGTCCGTGCACAAACCAAGCCTTAAATTTCTGACTTCATCACCAAATTCCCCAAACTTCATATCAAGGTTCTTCCATTGCGGGGAGTCGGCTGGGTGCTTCAGCATTCTGTTTTTCTTTCTTCCCTCTGCATGCCACCTCAAGTTTTTAGCGTATTTTGGTAAAGAGAACAGACGCTTAAACCTTGGAATTATGGGAAGATACCACAACACCTTAGCAGGAGGTCCCTTCGTACCAGCATTGCAACTCTTGCGCTTGTAGCGCGACTTCTTGCATCTTGGACACTCCTCCAATTGTTCATATTCATTTCGGTAAAGAATACAATCATTAGGACATGCATGTATCTTCTTATAATCCAAACTAAATGGACACATGAGCTTCTTAGCGTAATAGTAAGACTTAGGAATTTCATTCCCATCGGGCAACATCTCACTTAACACGCTCAACAAGGAAGTAAAACTATTGTCCGTCCACCCATGCTTCGACTTAATGTTAAAAAGAGTAAGCACGGCTGATAGTTTGGAGTATTTTTTGCACCCAGGATACAAAGGCTTTTTAGAAGCCTCCGATAATGACTCAAACACGTCACCTTCAAAACCACGCATCATATCATCCACACCTTCATCCTCAACCTCATCCACATGATCATCCTCAAATCCCTCCTCAGCACCATCATCATCAATATGTTCATCATTCTTGTATTCCTCGTCCACACGGATATCATTGCTTCTATCATCATGCACATCATACCCAATAACATCCCCACTGTACTCTCCTTCTTCACCATGCCAAATCCACACATGATATTTAACCCTAAACCCACGACAAACTACATGATCTCTAATGATATCAATACTATGGACCACCTTCACATTATTACAATCAACACAAGGACAATAGAGGCACTCGAAACCCATTCTGCGCTAATAAGATGAAGCCGTCTCGCAGAACTCTTGAACCCCATTAAAGAATTCCAATGTATCACGTCTACCATACATCCATCCACGATCCTTCTCCATTAAGTAAATTGTCTCTAAACATGGCAATATATTACGAATGATAATGTATAATTGCTACATATACTATATATATAAATCAAATTCAAACACACACCATGCATATAACTTTCATATACATACACAAATGAATATATGCTTCCAAAGAGTCCTTATCACTCCAACCTTACCCATCCTTGAACGTTTACTCTCACTAGTGAATGTATGTCAACTTTCCAATTTTAAGGAAAATCCGGCAGCATTTCCCCCCAGTTCTCCAAGTACACGACGTAGGTAATTACTTACCCACATATGTACGCAGAGAACATAGTGATCGAGGAAATGGTAAGCCAAGATGTTCCTTAAAATCGAAAAAAAAAGACATACATTCACCACCTAAGTGAGAGTAAACGTTCAAGAACAGTCCCAACCGGGGACTATTCAAGACTTTCTCCTAATGAGAAAGCCTTGAACGGGTATCTAGGCACATGATGATTCAATGCAAACATTTCATATATTTATTGTTGTATTTAATTTGTCATTATATAAAACACAAATCTAATATCTAGCATGAAAAAACTTTTATTAAAACAATAATAGAGAGAAAGAAATATTTATAGCTTAGAGAAGTTTATAATTCATACCAACACAATGGATGTATTCTTTCTAACTTCCCACTTGAGCTTAATTAATGGGTAGTCTTCAAACTTAACTAGCTTGAACTTCAATTCACATATGAACCTATAAAAACGCAAAGACAAAAAACACATTAAAAGTTAGTAAGTATGTATACATCCATTAATTGAACTAATAAGGGACTATAATTAATTGTAAATTAGCCTAAACTAAACTATAATTCTTCACTTATCTAAACTAACCTATAATTCTTCAGTTATCTAAACTAACCTAAACTTACTTGAACTTAATTAATTGTAAATTCAACCTTGGTGGTAACAATCTATGCAAAAGCCAACAAAGAATAACCCAAAACATTATTGAATATCACAATGCAAGCTCAAATCAGCATAGTAATTCAAAAAACAAGAAACCCAAATAAAATACACACAAAAACCTAATTTGCTAGCTACTTACCTTGAAGTTGCTTCAATGGAGGTGAGAAAGCTCACACAGCCCTTCAATGGAGGTGAGAAAGCTCGCACAGCCCTTCAATGGAGATGGAGGGAGAAGAGAAGAGGGATTGCGTGGGAATTGAAGACACCAAGATTTGAAGGAATGAGGAAGGAGGAGGGAAAACACAGAAGGAGGGGAGCAAGTTCGCACAGCTAGCTCTTCAATGAAGGTTTGTACCTCGCACCAGGCCACTTCAATGGAGAAAGAGGGGATCAAGTTGAATGAGGAAGGAGGAGGGAAAACGCAGAACCTTTTTTTTTTTTGCAATTGAATGAATTGAAGACGTTGATGAACAGTGACAAAACCCGCAATTTTTTTTTTTGAAAATTAGCAACGGTTAACCGTTGCCATTCATGAACCTTTTATTTATTTTTATTTTTTTAAAAAAAACGCAGTTGGCAACGGTTAACCGTTGCCAATGTTAATCAATATTTTTTTAAAAAAAAAAAATTGGCAACGGTTAACCGTTGCCAACTCTGATATTTTAAATGGCGCTCACTTAAGTTGGCAACGGTTTTCATGAACCGTTGCCATAGGGGGGTTGCCTATTTCTTTTTTTCTACTAGTGATACCACCCTGAGGGACGAGACTCAACAACGATAGTGGCATCGGGCACCCCGTAGTATCGGTAACACAACACCCGTATGATGGCGAAGATGCATGCTAATGCAAACATGACACTAGATAATATGATGAAGGCCTTTAGAGCAGGTTCCATATCTTCCGATTGTGTAACAAAAAATTCTGTCTATACGAATTATACGAGTATATCGTTGGTTGCTTAATTTTGTTTGTACGACACTAAAGATTGATGTAATTTATATTTCGCAAGATTTATCAATGAAATTTGCAAGCGTACGCATTTATATATATAGAGAAGGAAAATCATGAATTGAAGACCGTGTATAACAGTAGTCATTTTAGACTTGTGTACCTTACATTAATCACATGGGATAGTTTCTGTTGTGAAGGAATTGAATTGGTCAAATTCACTTCTTGTTAAGGTTGAGTAAGTCTAATACTCCGTATTTACGAAGTCCTAGGATTTGTATATCAATGGAATATTCAAAGTCCAATTTGCGGCTTCAAAGATGTAGCTTAAGTTCCAATGTACTCATGTTATCCTTTAATCACCGTACTAGTCGATTATGCACTCTCTCTATTTCAGTGCAATAATTTGACTTTTGTATGTTTTATGTACAAAGTACTTATTTTGACATTTATTTATACCAATATGTAAAAAGCAATTGTAGTCATATAAAGAGTTTTAAGATAATTAGGCTTTATGTACATTTTTATTACCTCATTTTTTTTTATATTTCTTAATAAGGTATAATTATTGCAAATAATAATGGCCAAAGTTGTACATTAACACATATATAATGTATCTACGAGTTAAATTATTGTGATCAATTAGAACCCGAGGGAATATGTCTTCTGTCATTATCATAATTTAATTTTTCTATCTTTTGTTTTTGTAATTGGTTTTTTCTTGTTTTTTTTTATAATGATAATAATAAATTTGCAACACAATTTTAATTTAAATAAGATCTTGTTAATGAATGCCCTCGGGGCATTTGTAATATTCCGTATTTTTATAATATTTTATACTAGAAAATAGGCGATTTTCGACGGAATTATTCCGTCGGAAACACCCCGTTATCTGTCAGAAGCGGTTGTCGGAAAAGGTTTTGTAAAGAAAATGATCTTTTTCGACGGAAATTCCGTCGGAACCAATTTTCGATGGAATTTTTTCTGTCGGAAGAGATTTTCCAGCCTGGAAATTTTCGACGGAAATTCCATAGGAAAATCCTATTTAAAAAATTAAAAAAATCGCACCACCACTAGCCCCCACCCCAGAACCACCAGCCCACCCAATCAGACCTCAATGCACACCGACCCCCAACCACCAACTCACCCACCCCACACTCACACCAGCCCCTACCCCACCACCACACACCACCACCGACACCACCACACACCAAAAATTAACCCCAAAAAATCGAAACTGGCCCAAAAAAACGAAAAGCCCAAAAATACCCGAAAATTATCCCCAAAAAAACAAAAATTAACCCCTAAAATACGAAAATTAACACAACAAAATCGAAAAAAACACCAGTAGATCTACATATTTAATCAGAATTTCATTAAAAAATATAAAAAAAAACGATAATTAACCAAAAAAATTAGAGGAAATATAAATATACAATTATCTAGTAAAATTTATAAACTAACATTACAATTACATAAAAAATTAACTAGATCTACAATCTAATCTAAATCAAAACAAGATCTACAAAACAAAAACCTTGAGAGTGGGTGGCTCACGACAGTGGTTGTCGGCTTTGTTGTTGTTGCGTCGTTGTTATTGGTGTTGTGCTGTTGTTGTTGCGGTTGATGTTGGTGGTGGTTTACGTTGGTGGTGGTTGATGTTGTGGCGTTGTTGTTGTTAACAGTGTTTGATGTTGGTGGTGGACGGAGTGAGAAGAGGAGGACGGAGAGAGAGAAGAGGAAGAAGACAAGAGAAAAAGGAGGGAGAAGGAGAAGAAGACCGAGAAAGAGGAGGAGAGGAGACAGAAAGAGAGATTGAGAAGAGGAGGAGAAGAGAGAGAAAGAGAAGGAGAAGGGGAAAGAAGAGGCGGAATTGAAAAAGGGGGGGTTGGCTGTTTAGGGTTTGTTTGTTTTTTTTTTTAATGTAGATTCCGACGGAAGAAAATTCTGACGGATATAAATTCCGTCGAAATTTTAATTTTCAGAAAGTACATATTTTCCAACAGAATAATATTCTGTAAAAAATTTTCGACAGAATTTTTGAATTCGTCAGAAATATTCGACGAAAAATAAATCCGTCTCCGATTTTTTCGACGGAATTACATGTTCGTCGGAACCTGTCTGTCGGAATTCGACCTGATTCTTATAGTGTAAAATGATTCATTTCATTTTAAAAAGAATTAATCATTTAAGTATAAAATAAGTGTGTATAAAATAATATGAGTTATTAATTGAGGCAATAAATTGTTTTAATTTGGGTCAACATCAATTAAATTGTTGGATCAACTTGTAGGGAATCAAAGAATTCTTAAGAGCCCAACAAGTTGGCCTTAAAGGAGAATTCAAGGAGGAGTAGGATTAGTAATGACAGTTTTGTAAATAAGTGTTTTTGTTTTAAAAAGGGGATATAAATACCCTAAAACCTCAAGAATTTCAACTCAAAAATCAAATTGTCAGATTTTACAAAACTCCAATTTTCCTCTTATTTTTCTCTCTCCTTTTCCCCCTCCTTTTCTCTTCTCTTTCCACGCCACTCTCTCCTCCTCTCCACGCACCACCGGCGACCACCGACGCCACCACCGACGGCCAGCAGCAGCACCGGCGCACCACTGGCAGCCGGCTGACCCTCCTTCTCTCTCTCTCCTCCCTAGCGGTTTGGTATTAAAAAAAAAACTCTTTTTTCCTGATTAACTTTCTAGCTTGTTTTAATTAATTCAAAGCATGATTTTGATTATATTTTGATGTTGATTTTGGGTAGTTGATGTTGTTAAATTATTCTATAGTTTTCAGATTTTAATTTAATAAAAAAAACCCTCAATTTACAAACCCTAGAATTTGGGAATTTAATGTTTATGATTAGGGTTTGATTCTAGGTTCTTGTGGTTGTTAAATTAATGATTAGAACATGTTTTTGATGAGTTTTATTAAGCCCTCAATTAATGCTGGAATTTTTAACTATTATGTTAGGGTTTGATTAGCCATAAAAGGGAAAAAGTTCTTGATGATTTAAATATGATTTTCTAGTCTATTAGTGATGTTTTATATTAAATAAACATGCTGGAATTTTATAATACACACACACACACACACACACACACACACACACACACATACCTTTGATTGATAAACAACCAAATAATTCATTTAGTTGAACAAACAAATAAAAATAAAATATTCCCTTGAATCACTACCTAAGAAAAGAAGGAAGAGAGTAAATATGGTGCTTGAATCACTCAAGGAATATATAAATGATTATACAAGGCTTCTCCAAGAATTGTAGCATTGCTACATGATATATTCCTTTATAACAAAGAATGAATGATTACCATCCTAAAAACTCGAAATAAAAGTTGAATAATCCATAGGATTAAGAAATAATCTATCATTTACTTTATAACTTTATACTCTAACTCAAGTGAATTTGACACCTCATTTCGAAAATACCTTTTTGATCATTGCCTATACTCCTTTTATCATCATATTCATTAGAAATCAATACTAACTCCCAAGTTCCATCGATGGTACCAATCCTCTTGTTTATACTCAACTCTACTATACTCCTAGTTTGGTATCTTACTAGACTAGTGAAACTAAACATTCTTTCTTGAAAATTAGGTAATCAACCATCAACTCAATCCTAACTGCCAAAGTAATTAGGTTGATTTTAACATTTCTTCATAAATACTAGTCATTTAGGAACAAAGGAAATTTAAGGGTCAATCTAACATAGACAAATGGGCTCTCATGCTCCTTAATCTCCACTAAAGATGCTCATAGTAGAAAGTTTAGTAGGCAAGACTCTAGAAAATCTGCAAGAAAATGGGTATAGCTCACTCTAGAACAACCCTTTCCATAACAAGAGAATACAGTTCTAGCAAAAATTTTAATTCGGCGTTCAATCATACAATTTCCAATTGCACATAATATATATGATCCACATATAATACATGCTTTAATACTATTCACGTAGTCATGCAACTAAACATGCTTGAACACCATAACAAATCAATATGCACATAGGGAAGAAATTAAATTCTAGCCTATATGCCCAATTCTTACTCCTATCCAATCTCACCACATGCTCTTAAAAGCATTTAACAAATAGTTACATACATTAATCCATTGCATACCTGCACAAGTAACACACCCAAAAAATTTTGAAATTCCTTTTCTTATTTAAATAAATTCGAAAATTTCCCAAAAAAAAAAAAAATCTACCAAAACTTCGAATCCCAATTTAATAAAATTAAATATTAAATAAAATTGAAGTTAAATAAAATGGAAATATACTTATTTTAAATACTTTTCAAACTAAAATTCTTAAATAAATAAAATAATACCTTCAACCTTTAAAATATTTAAAACTTATCATTTCAAACAAGCACTTGGTCAAGTTAAAACATAGGTACCTTAAACCACGTTTTTGGCTTTAATGGTAATTAAAATCTAACCAAAGCTCCCAGATACCACTTTGTAACACCCTAGAAATTTTCCCCTTTTGAAATAGCTATTTTGCCCTTTTTAAATACAAAATAGGAAATAACCAAGGCATTACCGCCACCGTGATAACGACTAAGGCATTTATCAAAGATACACAGTGGAAGACATTTTCAAAACCTTTCAAAACAAAGTCAAAGTCCAACAATCCACCAAGCAAGAGTAAAGTCAAACCCAAGTCAAACAAAGTCAAACCTACAACTTGGAACTATTGTAGGTCCAAACAAATATTTAGAAGTAATGTGTTAGTCTCATTAAACAACAATAATAAACCAATAACCAATAGTAAACACATATTTAAGATAAAACTAGTGTAAGATTCGCTTTTCGCTCAAACCCCCAACATGAATTGATGCAACACCTGAAAAGCTTTTCTTTAACTGTCCCTACTACTCACCATACGAAATGGGTCGTCGTAGGGCCAAGATAAAAACAAGGTCAAATACACACAAAACACAACAATCAGCATTGCTGAGTACATAAGCGTAATCAAAACACACTAACATGCATACAACCTAGCAATATTTTGAAAAGTTGGTTTTTAGTTTTAGACTTCCGCCGTGTGACTTTGAAAATAGCCTTAGCCGTTATCACGGTGGCGGTAATATTTTGTTTATTTCCTAAAATGAGTTTTATTTAAAGTAAAAAGAGTATTTTAAAAGGAGGAAATTTCAAGGGTACACTACTAGAAATAAGTCTATTTCCGACGGACATGAATTCCGTAGGAAAATAAAGGATTTCCGACGGATTATTCCGTCGGAACGTTAAATTGGAATCTTCCGACGGATTTTTCCATCGGAATATCAAACTTCTTACGGAAATAAAATTCGTCGGAAAGTCGGAATTCAGGTTAAAAAAAAGAAAAAAAAAAGAAACCCTACATTAAAAAATAGGATCTCATTCCTATTTTCTCACTCCTCCATTCCGCCACTTTTCTCCTTCTCCCTCCTCTCCTCTTTCCCTTCTCTTCTGGTTTCTACTTCTCCCTCCTCTCATCTCCTCGCCCTTCTTCCTCCTCTCATCTCCTCCTCTCTCATTCTCTCTCCTCTCCTCGTCACCTCCACCAGCACGTTGCTCAAACTCGACCTTGAAAATTCCAGATCTGGAATTTTCATGGTCGAGTTTGACCATTTAAACCCAACAAAGATGAAATTTCAAAAGGTATGTTTATTTTTATTTAGTATTGCGAGTTAATTTTGAATTCGTGGGCTGTGATTTGTTTTTTTTTTGGCTTTTATTTTGAATTTCCGAGTTTGGTTTTGCTGAATTTAATTTTTGTATATTCAATTTTGTATTATTTAATTTGCTGATTTTGTTTTTGTATATTGAATTTTGTTTTTTTTTTATTTTTTATTTTGTTTTGCTGATTTTGCTTATTAGATCTGTTTCGGTTTTTTTTTTTTTTTTTTAATGAATTTTCGTTTTTTTTTCTGGGTGGCGGTGGTCTGGGTTGTGGTGGGCTGGTGGTGGGGGTGGGCTAGTTTGGTTGGGTGTCTGGGTGGGTGGTGGGTGTGTGGTGTCTGGGTAAGTAAGGGGGGTAGGGGGCAGGGGTGGGGTGGGCTGGTGGTCGTGTGGGTGGGTAGGGGGGTAAGTTAGGGGGAGTAAGGGGCAGGGTGGGGTGGGTTGGTGGTCGTGTGGGTGGGTAGGGGGGTAAGTTAGGGGAGTAAGGGGCAGGGTAGGGTGGATTGGTGGTGGTGGGGTGGGTAGGGGGTAAGTCAGGGGGCAGGGGTGGGCTGGTGGTGGGGGTGGTGGGTGGGGCTTTTTTTTTTTTTTCCTATTAAATTTTCCGACGGAATTTCCGTCGGAATTGTCCGGCGGATTTATATTCCGTCGGAAATTTTCGATGGACTTTCTGGTATCGGAAAAACCACTTCCGACGAAAAAATTCAGTCGGAATTCCGTCGGAATTGTGTTTTCCGACGGAATTTCCGACGAAAATGGCCGTTTTTCCTACAAAGGGGTTTTTGACAACGTGTTCCGACGGAATTCCGTCGGAAACAACCCTTTCCGACGGATTTTTAAGGTGTACCGATGGAATTTTTCCGTCGTAAATAAGGTGTTTTCTAGTAGTGGTATTAAAGCGTTGGATTACCTTTTAAAAATTTTCCTAAAATGGTATTAATTTGGGAATGCATGCCAAAATCACGCGTCGATCGATGTAATTAATGTTTATTTAAAATTAATATTTGTACTTTTAATTATCTTATCCAACGCCCCTAGGGCATTTGATAGTTTTACCTTTTAAATAAATGAACACATATTTTAAGCGTGCAAAAATTGTTTTTGAGCAACAAAAAAAAAAAATATAGTGAAATGATTTTAGGGATTGGACTTCAATTTTAGTTTTGTACAATTAATAGTTTGATATCCCCTTCAATCTAAAATTATTGACATAATTTGACTTTTTAAAATAATCATGCATATACTTTGTAGTCCTTATTAATTGTGATTATAATTTTGTTTTTACTAGTGTATTACCTTGCCAAAAAAAAAAAAATTAATGCTATCAAGTAAACATTGGTGAATAATTATTAATATATTTTTAAAAAGTTCTTATAATTTTTAATTATTTATCAATGGTCAAATATATTAACAAGGGAATTAAGTTTGACTATATCTAACCGAATGTAATAACTAGATAGATATGGTGAGCACATCTAGTGGAGGACCCACCCTTGAGCACAATGGGTCACGTGACACAACAAAAAAAAAGTTAAAAATAAATTTAAAAAACACGCTCCTCTAAGCCTTTGTTTGGTTGATGGGATTTGGCTAAAAAAAAAAAGAATTTCATTATTTTCATTATATTCTCATATTTGGTATGATAAATGATATGAAAATTGGTAAGAAAGGAAAATTAAAGTCTTTATAAATTTTTTACTTTACTTTCCTTTCCTCCCAAAATTAAAGGATTTTGAAATGAAAGAAAAAAATATAAGGTGTTACTCTTCTCTTCCTTTCATTTTCTGACATTTACCAAATATTATTCCCTTTGTCGTCCTTATTTTTTCCCCATTTGACTTTTCAGGGTCTTTACTTTATTTTTATACTCGTAAAAATTATAAAAATTTGATATTAATAAAATATATAATTAGACAAATTTAACAATACCCCATATAAATATATTATCTTTTGTTAATTAATGATAATTTATGGTTAAAGTTTTAAAATTTGACCCATTTATTTGCAATGAGTAAAAAAAATAGGGACATAGGGAAGAATTTGACATTTACCAAATATTATTCCCTTTGTCGTCCTTAATTTTTTCCCCATTTGGCTTTTCAAGGTCTTTACTTTATTTTTATACTCGTAAAAATTATAAAAATTTGATATTAATAAAATATATAATTAGACAAATTTAACAATACCCCATATAAATATATTATCTTTTGTTAATTAATGATAATTTATGGTTAAAGTTTTAAAATTTGACCCAATTATTTGCAATGAGTAAAAAAAATAGGTACATAGGGAAGAATTTAAAATCTCCTTCCCTTAATCGATCTCATGACCACCTGAGATCAAAGAGCAGTTCTAATCACTTGAGCTATCCCTCACTCTATCAAAGGAAGTATTTGATAAAAATATTTATTTATTTTATAATAACAGAAAAATCAAGTCAAACATAACATATAAATAAGGCAAAAGTCAAAGCGATACATTTTTAGAAAAAAACAGAAAAAGTACTATACTGTACTAATTTTGAACCAAAAAGGGCCTTAGTTTCACGGCAAAGGACACACAGACAGACAAGAACTCTCTTCCTCTCTCTTGGAAAAATCAAGTCCGGCCATCGGCCACCACCAGTCTTCTGTTCCGAACCGTCGCACCGCCAGTCGCATCATACCAGTCGTCCGAGTTTACGACCAGCCGCACCTCTCAATTTCATTATTCAAGTAACTGAGTAAGTCATTTTCATATTTAAATATTGAATTTAATGTTTTCAATTTCTTATTCTTCATGAGTTGTTGGGTTGATTTTTTGCTTAAATTAGTTGTTTATGTTACTTAATTTATCAAATTAGTGTGGATGTTCCTGAATTTGATGGTTTGTTATTTATTCAACACGATTAGGGAGTTAGGGTTTTAATTTTTTTTGGAATTGATGATTTGGCATTTCTGAATTTTTTTATTTTTTTGTTTTTTTTTAAATTAATATTATAATGTGCATTGTAATTGTTTGCCAAATTGAGAATTGTTGAGTTTAACTAAAAATGGTGAATGGTGAATGTTGAATTATTTGACTTATTTGGGTATTGGATCAACCCGAATTTGTGTAATAATGGCCGGGTTTGTCTTAGTTTGTTGAATACTTGATCGGGTAAAAAGTGTGAGAAATGGGATTTTAATAATTATACTATTCTTCAGGTTTGAATCTTTTTTCTTATAAATTATCAGTTTAATGCTCTGTTTTAAAGTTATCAGTTTAATTAATTGTGCATTGTGCTATTATTTGATGGGGATTTTCTATTTGATCATAATGTCTGATATTAGAGTTATGTTATTTCTAATTATAAAGATTGAGTAGGACTTTTGGGTTTTGATTAAGATTTTAAGTGTTTGATTAGTCTATGTGTGAATTCCCGAAATGACGTGAATGTGTGATGGTAGTTTGGTTTCGCTCATGTTTTAAAGATAGTATGCGGACATGCAGTCAATGGATGACAATGACACATCACCCATAAAATCCTGGACACGCTACGAATTAATGGTCAAATACATTAACAAGTGCATTAAGTTTGACTATATCAGACCGAATGTAGTAGACAGATATAGTGAGCGCATGAGAAGTGGAGCTTAATCCAACCTTCTCTATACTGCTGGGGCCCTAGGTTGCCCAAAATCAATCAGGTCATATTCAATCTTAATTTATACGGTTTACTTAACTGAGATTTATAAAGAGCACTATTGAATTTTATATTTTTTGAGCCAGAATAAAAAAAAATGGAAGGAGAAGCAGAGAGATCAAGAAAATCATAAGCCACCAAAAAATTATATGACGCAGCACTTGAGGGTGACTTACCTTCCTTGCTCAACTTGCTCCAACAAGATCCATTCATCCTCAATCGATACATCATCGAAAAGCCGGGCCGTTTCTCACAATCACCATTACATGTAGCAACTAGTTTGGGGCACCTAGAGTTTACCAAAGAAATTTTACATCAAAAGCCTGAACTAGCAGAGGAGCTTGATTTCTCAAAAAGATGGTCACCCTTGCACATAGCCTCATCAAAAGGGTACCTAGATATTGCGCAAGCTTTGCTCACGGAGAAGCCTAACATGTGCTTTGCTCGCAATCAAGATGGAATGAATCCGGTTCATGTTGCAGCCATAAATGGTCAGATTCGTGTACTTGGTGAGCTTTTTCGGGCTAGGATGCAGGCAGCTAGGGAGCGGGCAAATGGTGGCGAAACTATTTTGCATTTGTGCGTGAAGTTTAGTCAACTTGAGGCTCTTAAGTATTTGTTAGATGTAATGGATGCTCAATTAGTTAACTCCAAGGATAGTGATGGTAATACAGTTTTGCACCTTGCTGTGGCTACTAAACAACCTGAGGTATGATCAAAGTACTAATTACTTATCCTTCTTTTTTAATTTTTTTTAATTTCTTAATAACATTTAAGTGAATGTGAAGATGTTAGAGAATTTCCGATATCTCATATCTCTAACAAAAGACTAAGATAGAAGATGAAGTAATGACTCATATGGGAATTTGTTAAATGTAAGTGTGAGTAGTGTTTGTCCCATGTTGAAAAAGAAAGCAAAATACTTTCTGTTTATAACTCAAGCGAGCTACTCTTCTTATTGCTAATTGGTTTTAAGATGGAACCTCGTTTAGGCTCTAGTTTGTGGGCTTTTGGGTTTATGGTGTTTTGAGTAGACCGGCAATCGTGTCGTGTCGCGTCGTATTCGTTTTCGTGTCGGAAATTAAACGGGTTGGGGAAGGAACACTAACCCGACCCATTTAATAAACGTGTCGTGTCGTGTTTACCCAATTAATTAATCGTGTCGAAAACCCTTAACACTAACCCGCCTTTTTCGTGCTCGGTTCGTGTTGTGTTGTCGTGTTGAATTGAAAAATATTGGTCTTATTCAATATATTTATCAATAATTTCATAAGTACTGGTTTTTTATGTTAGGCGGGTCGGGTCGTATTAAATTCGTGTTAAGAATCTCAACACTAACCCAACTTTTTTAATTAAATGTGTCTTGTCGTGTTGACCCATTTCATTAAACGTGTTGATAACCCTTGACGTTAACCCGTTTTTTTCGTGTTCGGTTCGTGTCGTGTCAATTTTTGCCAGCTCTAGTTTTGAGGTGAGTTCTTGTTAAATTCGTAATAATGTGTATTTTATTAATATGTAATTTTTTATAATTTTTTCCATTATGAAATTAAAGATATTTAGCGATAAAAAACTACAAATAAAACGATGATCTAGTCTGAACTTATTTTTTCTAAAATAAGTAAAAATAAGTTGAACTAAACGATGCCTAATTTTGTGATAAAAGGGGCATCTTTACTCGCATTGTTGTCTAGTTTGTGACATGTGCTCGATGTGATATGGTGGGCCACCCTTATCTCAAATTGGCTCTTTACTGTAATGCAGATGGTAGATTGTATACTAAGAAACACAAGTATCGAAATAAATGCCCTCAACACAAATAAGCTAACTGCAATGGATATACAAACTCAAAATAGGAAGGATTCATCAAGAGATGATGAGGAGATTTCGCGCTCTCTCAAAGTTGCCAAAGCATTACAAGTTAAGGACACATTGGAACTTCATAACAAAAATAATCGCAACTGGCTGGAAAACCAACGTAGTGCTTTACTAGTGGTAGCATCTCTGATAGGAACAATGGCTTTCCAAGTCGGAATTAATCCTCCAGGAGGTCTTTGGCAGGATGATACAAATTTGCACATTGCAGGTACTTCCGTATTAGCTACCAAGGCTCCGGGTAGATACAATGTATTACTCATTAGTAACACAATCGGCCTTGTTTCATCTCTAAGTGTGATCATCCTCCTCATAAGCGGCCTCCCCTACAGGAAACTCTTCATTGGGATTTTGATGTTTATCATGTGGATCGCAGTTTCAGCCACAACATTTACCTACCTAATGGCAATACTACTAATCTTTGATTTAGACTTTTATAAAACGAAAAAATTTGATGTAACACCTGGACATTGGAAGACTCTTTATTTATCGCTGATTGTATGGGATTGCTTGATGGCGCTTGTATTACTTGGACATACAATACGCTTCATAGTGAAGCAGATTAGGCAGGGAGAGCAGTCCTCGATAAAATTGTACAGAAGGTGGTTTACAAGGTCTACGTATCATCCACCTGCTGTCTAATGTAACAAAATTAAGAATGTTTAACAATATTCATAACCTTTGGTCAACCAATAATCACTACTCCGTATTTGTTAGTCAAGGGGTGAGATAGTAATGTCTTTTCAAAATACCTGAATGTCATTAATTTTGGTTACATTCTTAAAATAGTTAGTGTACATGAATTTATAGAACAACTACATTGCGTGTATATTTTTTTATTGAGGGAAAAGCCGTATTAATCAAAGGACAAAATGTCCGAGAGTACATAAAGTATAATCATGTCGGGATAATGATTAAACCAAACTAGTTCAATAATGAAAGACATTAGCTTAGCAAGGTGATAAGCCATAAAGTTGTCATTCCTTTTTACATCGCGTGTATATAAATCTAGTATCGAATAAGGTTAAACACCTTAGACAACAACTAAAATTACAACTTATTTCAGCCCATTTTTGCACCTTCAAAATTGACTTAAAATACATTTCACATGGAAGTTGCAAGATTCTAAATCATTTCAGTAAAAAATTGGCTTAAAATAATACCAACTATTAACGGTGTGTGCAAAATAATACGAACTCAACTATTTGCTATTAGCGGCACCTTTTTTTTTTTATTTTTTTTTTTTGGACAAAAGCAAAGGAGAACAGTTCCATACAATTTCAGTATGTTGATAATGGGCGCTTTGTTTTGTCTCTTATTTTCGGCAATTCCTCCTTGAGTGGATCTTGCTTCCAAAAGCTTTGATCTCTTATCCAATCCATGCCATTTTTGTCATAGAGATATTACAATTCCAATTACTATTACTACATACCTCTTTTGCTTATTCTTTTTAAGTTGACCTGTTTTTACTTTTAACACTTTTTACGAACGCTATTTTCACTAGATTTTCAGAGATTTATACTTGATAGTTATGATATACGAAGTATAAAACATAGTCATACATGATCATTTTAGAATCGTTTATTTCATAATATCAACTTTTTTCTTAATTTTTTTTTCTTTATTGATAATTAGAGATATCAATCGCGTTAAACTTGTGAATTGACAAATTTTATAAATGATAAATGAAGCTAGTCAACTAAAAAAGAACGACGGGATTGTCGAAATTTGTTTTTAAAAGTTTTGATTAGTTCAAATATGTTTAGATAAAACTAGGTTAGTGTCCATGCGATGCACAAATTTAATCAAAAATTGGCAAAAGTTGTATATTATTAAGGAAAATTTTTAAATTACCACCCAAAAATGACTCCATTTTCAAAATAACCTCCCGTTTAATTTTTTTATTTATATTACCACCCCTTAAATTAAAAATTACTCACATTCCCACCTTTTTCAAAATTCCGTTGGGTTTTCCGTCTGTGGGCCCCACCTAACGGCTACTATCGCTATTTTGACCCTTTTGACTGATTTCCCCCCGATTTTTCTCTTTAAAACAGCTCTCCAAACTTCAATTTGCATTTCTTTCACCAAATTCCACCAAATTCCACTATAATTGGGGTAAATAGGTAGATTTGGGAATTAGGGTTCTTGGGACACTTCAATTGGGCGTTTTCAACAATTGGGCGTCTTCAATGGCTTCCCGTTTTCCCTGCTTTTTCTTTCAGCATCGCCGGAGTTGTTCTCACCATCGGCAGCGGCGTCGGATTTGGAGCCATTTTTCCAGACGTTAACTCTGCTTTGCTTGAAGTGTCTCCGTTGAGTGCGGCTCCTTCCTTTGCCTCTCATGGTGGTTTTAGGTTAGAAGGAGGAGAGAGAAAGTGAAGCAGGAAAATGGAGAAGAGAAGGAAAAACCATCGGAAAGAGGGAAATGGAGGTGGGGCCTCCATGGTGGTTTCAGGTAAGAAGGAAAATGGAGAAAGTGAAGCAGGAAAGAGGTTTTGCGGTTGATGTAGCGGAAAATGGAAATGGAGGTGGGGTCCACAGACGGAAAATCAGTCAAAAATCACCGGAATTTGGAAAAAGGGGGGAATCTGAGTAATTTTTTAATTGAAGGGTGGTAAAATAAAAATAAAAAAATTAAACAGGTGGTTATTTTGAAATAGGTGTTATTTTTGGGTGGTAATTTAAAATTTTTCCTATTATTAATTTAGTTATAAATCCAAAACATATATAACTTAGGAAAAATTCATGCCAATAATCCGACCTTTTGCACATTATTTTTTAATAATCCGACCTTTGGATTATTATTTAATAATCCGACCTTAGGGGGTCTTCAATTATTATTGGTCCCTACAGGTTGCTTGACTTGTTGTAGCTGGTATTAGTCCTATGTGGCTCCTACATGGCTTACAAAGGTGATATTCCTTTATTTTTATTTTATTTTTTGTTTAAAATGCCACGTCCCTTAATTGTTGGGTCTTCTTCTTCTTTTCTTTGTTTCCTCTCTTCCTTAAACGACATTGATGCTCTCAAATCCCCCCCTCTATTGTCACTGAAATTTGGTTGCAATGGCTAGTAGGAGGCACATTGGGTCGACTGGATCATCTTCGTCAAGGTCTGTTGGTTGGGGTTCGCCAAAATTGAAGTGCAAATGTGGTGTAGAAGCTGTAATTTGGACGGTGAGGAATGGCGATAATGTGGGTATGGAGTTCTATGGATGCCCTAAATGGCCTGTAAGTGTGGTGGGAAGTGACATTTTTTTGTTTTTGCTATTGAACTTAAGATAATTACATTGGGAAAATCGAATTAGGGTTTTCAAATTCAATTGATTTTTTTTTTTTTTTTTTTTTTTTTTTTTTTTTTTACAGGAGGGTGATTGTGGATTCTTTCAGTGGGTTAGTGCTAACAAAATAGATGTTGAAGATCTACGATTCCAGGTGTTTGAAAGAGATACACTACTTGCGGAAAAAGAGATTGAAATTGATTTCATGAAGGAGCAGTTGAAAAAAGTAGAGAAGAATTTGGGAATAAAGGAGGATGAGTTGAATGATACCAAAATGGAGCTTTGCCACACTAGAATTGAACTAATGAATGCGTCAAGGAATGAAAAAAACTTCTCCATTGCTCTGTTTGTGTCATGGATTTTCTTTGGTTTTCTTTTAGTGTATTTGAAGGCATGACAGTGATGTTGTGCAGATGATAGTTAGTTAGAATGAATAAGTTAGTTTAGGCAGATGATGTTGGGCATATGTGACATGTATGGTCAAAATAGCCATTAGATTATGCAAGATATGTATGCTGCAATGATTTGATGAATAAAAGGAAGTTATTTTGACAAAAATTTGCTTACAACTTTAATCATCATATAGAACTGAACACATTAAAGTTGTTATATTGAACATAATAAGTTCACAATGCTTAGTCCAAAAGACACAAAATGAACCCTGCCATGGTTCATGCTATTTCACAGTAATATGCATATTGACTTCTATAAGCCAACATGCCCAAACAAACTGTTCCCAAAAGCTTACATAAACAAAGTACAAACACTGAATGAGTTAAATACACCAAAAGTGAGTCACTGTTCATGCCACTACTTAGAAGACTATTGACTTGGTTGATGTAAGGTGGAAAGTTGACTTTCTTGACTGCACTGGAACCACGCCATAGCTGATGTTGTTCTCCTTTGATTGGTTTGGGTCTGCACACAGATACAACAACTAACATTAGTATAACATTAATTGCAAGCTAAATCAAACATACAGAAAAAGACAACATAAAGGCACTTACACTAGTCCTTGCAGATCCATCTGATGCAATGAATACACCTACACCTTCTGGGACCTGAACAGTTATAACACATCACCAATTAAGAAACAAAAAGTTACAACAATAAGCTATGTAGAACTAGGAGAATATACCTGGTTCCTTCCTCTGCCCCTGGTACTACCCCTGCCCCTTCCTACTCCCCTGTTCCCACTTGAAGCCCCTCTGCTAGAACTAGCAACATCTGAACCCCTTCCCCTTCCAGCATTGATAGCAGCACCTCCTCTACCCCTTCCACCCCTTGATCCCCTACCCATTAATATTGTTCTTCCTCCTCTACCAAGTATGGTAGGTTGAGCAGTTAATGAGTGGTGGGTTGTATCAATTTGTTGCCTAGAAGAGGGTGTAGCCTGAGTGGATTGCACAGCTGTTGGTGTAGGTTGAGGTGCAACTGCAGCATCCTTGGGAGGCCTCCCTCTAGCCCTTTTTGGAGCAGGTTTTTTGGGGTTCTCATGTGGATCTTTGATTCGATTTTTCCTTGGCCTCCCTAGACCAATTTTGATTGGTGGAGGATCAACAGGCATAGACACCACTGGCCAGTGTCTTTCACCTTGAATCGGTGGAATGGAGCCTAACAAAATCCATAAAAGAAAGGCATTAGTTCACAACAAAAACCAGAAAAGAAAGGCCAAAATGCATTCCTTAGGGGTAGATTAGTTACCTGCATACACTGACAAATAAGTGTCCCTGTAGTAGCATTTATCCACAAACAGCTCAGGTTCCTTGCCCAGAAAGTATATGGAAGCCACTGCATGGCAACATGGAATGCCAAGCATATCCCATTTCCTACAAGTACAACTCCTTCTTTCCAAATCCACCACTAGCTGATCCAAGTTATAATTCACATTGAAAAGGGTTTCAGAGGAAGGAGTTACTTCACATTGTGCAGCCTTTGCCTTCTCAGCTTCCAGCTTGGCTTGAATTCTTGGACAAAGTATTGAGGTGGCTTTCATCATAGCTTGCCTTTTCACCACCAATCTCTGCATCAAAGTAGCTCTTATGTCTTCTAACATGTACAACAAATGCTTGGTCCTTGCTTGAATGATGTACCCATTGAATGTCTCTGCTATGTTTGAAGTAATTGCATCAGTCTTGGCTGCAGGACTCAGAAAAGCTCTGCAGAATAATTCAAGCCTATGCAATTTGAAGTCATTGGCTGCATCCGCATTCAACTCAGCAAGCTCCCGAAGTCCTTCATTGTAATCAGCCATATTGTATGCCTTTGCAATTCTCCAAAACAACAATTTTAGCTCATCTCCTTTATACTTCTTATGCCAGTGAGCAAATATGTGTCTAGCACAGTGTCTGTGCTCTGCCTTAGGCAGAACAGTTAAGACACTATGCACTATGCTCTGTCAAATTA